ATATCATGTGCTACTGAAGTTACCATTTCGTGTTAGTAATTAAGTAGGTCGGATTTTGTGGCCAGTTATGTTCATACTTCTTTTATTATGACACGGATTCATTTTCTTTCCATCAACGAGAGGGTTGGATGTTAAGTTTTAGAAGAAAATCGTGTAAAGCAGTAAAAGTCATGTGTACCCACATATGACTTTTACTGCTTCAATAGGTTTGATGGCAGATTCATTTAGGCTGAACGTTGGTGTATCAGCTTATCTGTGATAATCTTCAATCCAAAAATAGCAGTACTTATGTGTAATTCATGTGCACAGTCCACGTGTGTGCGTGTTGAGCGGAAGCCGCCGATTTTCCGCGCACGCGCATCACAATGATCTTCCTCGCATCCGTCCACCCGCGCCGCGTCCCACCCGCTGCGCTGTCATCTAATTATTGACTCGCCATCGTACTTTAATTAACATTCTTTATGCTCGGCTGATTCCGACAAGTGGTCTTGAGACCCGATCATATGTTATTACCTACATGTAACGCTAGCCTCACTGCGAGGTGTACAATGACGACACGGGATCGGGTACATTCTTTCATTAAGTTGCGCACAAGTTTTCTCCAGCTCTTGTTTTCTTAAAATTGATTTAAGTCTTACATATTAAAACAAAGCGTGACATAAACAGTCTGGTCTGACGTTAATTCTGCTTTTTTATCACATTTATTTTAAAAATTAAGACGTTTTTTCCAAGAAGTGAACATATTTTCACTCAAATACATATTTAACATTTTAATTTATGCCGCTCGCTCCTAAAACCACAAAAAAGGTTTTTCCAGATTGAAGTTTCGTAGAAATGGTTTATCCGAATTATTTATTTATTATCACAGTCCATTACTGGTTGTAACATGGTATTGTACGAAGGCTTTATATTGTACCGGCTAATTAAACCTGCACGATAGAGAAAAAAACAAAAACGTTTCTTTTTACAGCAACTGTATTATTGTTAGTTGTTTAACATCGAGGTATTTGTTCAAACAGCGGACCATGTTCATGTTGTTCTGTTTCGTTGTGTTCTAAGGATTATACCAACAATGTTCTGTTGTTTCCAACTATATAAAACAACTAAGTTAACAGTTCTGAATACCCGAAATGCTGCTAAACAAAAACATGTAACTAACTCAAACGAGAAACTTTCTTAAGAAATTTACTAGTGATCCATAGTACGTACGTATGTACATTTATGTATGTATACAGGACATAAACTTACATAATGTATATGTAAATGGTTAAACCTACGTACTGAGTTCGTTTTTAGATGTTACTGATAGGGTATGTCGTAATTCTTGTGTATTTTTGGGTACTTAAAAGATATAATAAAACTTTTTGTCCGGTTGACGTAACTCAGTTTTGAGTATTATTATGTTTTTTTTGCTCTATCATCTCATACATTACCCTATATAAGGACGGACCCTTGTCTGTTTTAAAGGACTATATTATTATATATGTTGTCATTGTAAGATTGCCAGTACCTTATAGAGAAGTCATTTCGAACGTAAGCTTTGAAAACTGTTGAGCCACACTTCTATTTTCTCCTATGTCGAGGCTGTGTAATACAAACATACAAATAGATACACAGAACAATTTGTGGATGACACAAAGAGTTTTTCAGTCCGGGAATCAAACTGGCGATACGTTTCATAGGTAGTTGTCAGTTGCAGTCAAGTTTATTAATGACAAAGGAAAAAAAGACTTCACGACGTGTTCTACTCTAATGTGTGCATAATGTAAAATAATAATGATTGCCAGTATAATAATATAATATGTAAAAACTAATAATATAAAAAAGAGTAAAGTTAGTATTGATGTCAGAGCTGGTGAAAAGAAGGTGTAACATTGATTGATAAATGGTTTTCGTCGAATTAAGTAGGTTCAAAATATAAAATTTTTACAAGCAATCTGCGGACATCTTTGGCGGATTAAGTACGATTGATTTACGGATGCTGTATTTATTTTTAAAATACTGTCTTAAAAGGAATCAAGAATCTAATGTTTTTATTTAATCATTATTTGACATGTCTACAAACGTAGTAGGACACTTTGTATTACTTTTTTGTGGAAACAAAAAACTATATCTTGTTATCTGAAGATACTTAGAAAATAATTCATTTTCATTATTCGTTATAGGATTTCATAATTATGTTTTTTAATATTTGTTAGTCAAAACTTCTGAAAGATTCACTCATTATGAATAATGATGGTCATTAGTGAGTGAACATGCACATAACTAACTATGTATGTGTGCTTGCAAGTGACCTTTGTTAGTACACACTCAAATTATGTATCTATAGTGTTGCCATCGATATACTTCACCGCGTCTCAGGCATTCAGTGTCTAATTTCATTTTCAATATTTCAAAATAAAAGGTGCAATATTACAAGTATTAGAAGTGTATGCAAGTAGTTCACATTCATCTCAGTAGTTTGCGTTAACACTAACGAAATGAAAATGTGACTGAAATGTTGATCAAGGTTGTTATAGGACTAATGTTACTCTACGTATCTTAGAAACGTAATAGTTTTGAACTAATAAATCACATTACATACATGCGTCCTGTGATCCTGGACCAGTACTTATACAATACACTTGAGTACTTTTCAACATAGGGAAATGTATCTGATTTTGCTTTACATTAATCGATTTATTTTTGTTGTGTCATTCACATGTGTGAGCCTACTTTGTATTCAGGATGGAAACGTTGCTAGCTGCTATTTATGTATTTATAAATATAATGCGTACAGAATTCCAATAGCTCTTGGCAATGTATACCATTTACGTACGCACAACTTACTACGATACACAATAAAGTCCTACGCGAATATTTTTTTCTCTTCGTATTAAGTTCTTTGTTCATAGATGATTGCTTACTTTCTGCGAGAGGTGCAATTTCCTTGTTATCACGCAACGTTCGACTTGGCAAGCAACAATAACTATTAAATGTTTAAAACGTTTCGTAAATCCAGTAAAAGTGTGGTGGGCGTAGTGCACAATGCGACAATAGTTGTCGACGTAATCGTCGTTTTCTATCAGTTGCGGTCGCAAACACTTCGCGCTCCGCTGCGTCCTGATACTTCACAGCACGCAGAACTTTATTTGCAGATCAAGATGTGCGTATCTCTTACAAATCTGACTTTTCCACGATATATCTAGAACTCTTCACCTGTCATGCGCACGAATAGTCTCATACTACCTGGTAGAAGAGACACACGTATCTTCAAAGATGACTAAACTCCAAGACTCTCCGCGCATCATGCATTCGACTATTAATTGTCTTGTTTTCCATGATATCAAAGATCTTGCGTAGGTGGAGCCCTCGTGGCGTGCATAATTTTCAAATTGAATAAGCTCCTGGACAAAGACGCAATTTGTCTAGATTTGCGTACGATCGAACTGTTCCAGAGAATTGGTTTGGTTGAGATTAAGAGACAATAGGAATAGTTCATTTTTTCATCGTTAATCTCTTAATTCGTGGCTAAATGTGCCAAACTTTCAAAGTACTTACCTCGATATGATTAAATTTTACTTTTAAACCAACTTGCATGTTGGCAACATGCCACGAGTACGCTTGGGTACAGTCGATCACCTACACCTACTTCCATTATTTTTGAAAGCTCCGGTTTTCTGACCTTTGTAAACAAATAGGCACCGACCATTCAGTCAGTTAAGTCATTCTGTGTAATCAATTTGCTATTGTTTCTAAAAGTGAATCAAATCTTAAAAGGGACGCGCGGACGTCGATTTCATTGGTTTTGTGATTTTGTTTAACAATCGTCGGCCTGACCCTTGTCCGCCAGGTCTGTCTGTAGGCTGGCAGCCTTGCACTTTGTTGTATGAATGTTTTTTAAGCACATTGCATGTTTGTGGCCGGCCAACAGTAGTCATTATCCAATGAGAATACTGCAATTGACATGAACAATGATGAGACGCGATACCGTGTGGGTAAATACATAGGTAAATGAACATAGCCTACGTACTGAGGTTACGTAAGAGGTTGGCTGCATGCTAAAGGCGTCCGCCATTTTGCGATGAGCACTTTGATGGTTTTTACGCGAAAAGTGAGCGGCGAGGTTGGCAATGCTTCAACTTTAATTTGTTGTAGAAATTACTATTTTGCAAAGATTTCCTAAATACCTTAAAGCGAGCGAGTACAAAAAGCGGTTACGTGGAAAACAACATTGACACAGCCGTGGTTTGGGTGAACATTTCTAGAACTTACTAGAGTTACAGTCGCGGCTCGTACGGCCGTAGGAGGAGTTGAGCGTGACCTTCTTATTTATTTCAATTTATTGATTCAGACCTTATTTAGCTTCATGTAACGTTTAGAATACTGCTTACTATTGTGTATTTGTAAAGGTGATAGGTGATAGTTATATATAAATAACACATTTTCACTGGCTCAGAAGCGCTTTCTAATATATTTTTTATTTCTAAAATTATTATGCAGACTGAAAATACTTCTTTGTCACTAAAAATGTCAGACCGAGACTAGATTTCATCTAAAAACCGCAGTATCGTTTAGTGTCGAAAGATGTCATTCGTATGGTAGTGGACGTTCTCTTCATTAGAGAGACTACTGAATTTTAGTTGGTAGTATGATTATTAATAGTATGATAGTCGTCACCAAACGGTTTATGTCCGTACTTATAAAATAGATAACGTAATTTAATAAATACAATAATGCTAATTATTACATTAGGTATTAACCATGATGTACGGACAGTAAAACCATTGGAATACATATACAGGAAAATACAATAAAAATATTTATAAAAGGTCAAGTTATTGAAGCTGATTGGAAAAAAATAATATTTAAGTTATTCAAATATTTAATTTGTGTTTTACAGATAGTCATATTTAGACGAGTTTTTAAGTAAATTTAGAGCGAAAAGCTAGATCAAGGTGTTGTTTTAAAGAAAATGTTGTTGCGTATAGAGTATTTATCAGAATGTTTTGTAATTTTAGGACGAGCCTTTACCGATAAACAACGCGCACGCGCTGCACGGCGTGCCTCCGTCGTCTGCAGCTCCGGAGACGTCTGCGGCGCCCGCGCAGCCCAGCGAACCGGCGCCAGTCCCCGCCAACCAGCTCAAAGATGACGCACTCAACCACGCCGAGTCTAAGATTGACGAAGACAAATTACAGGTAAATATATTTTCCCACACTGTCGTTACTTGAATGCTAAGGAGTTACATTCTGTAAAGATTCTTTGAAACGTTTTATGACGACAAAGTAGATTTATAGTTTCATAAAATTATATTCTAGCTGTGTTTAAAAAAGGAAGGGTAGGCAGGAAAATCTCATCTCCTGAGGAGAAAAATAATCTGTTTAACAATGGTAGACAATTTAGATTTATGACTATACTACGTGCAGTAGTTAGTCGTATGTTTATTACACTACCAATAATGGGCATCACATAACCATCTCATCAATAGATGGACTCTTGCTAGTTACTCTCTCTTCCAAGAAATGGTTGTTAATGGTCTTGTCAACAATTACTTGTTTTGTTCAAAGATTTCTAGAACATACGCTACTCAGTATTATATTATCTTTCATGCAATAGTAAAAGTACTGACGACAAACGGCCGATTGGTTAAGGCCGGCAAGAGGTTTCTCTCTGTAGTTTCACGCGTGAAAGGCCTAAGATAATTTAATTCGATTTAAAAGCAAACAAATCTAATCCATCTCGGAGTTTTAAGAGAAAATGCGAATGTAAATAATTGTGTTATTTACATAAGTAAATGGGTATATTAGAGTTTTGTTATTGTAGTTACATTTTTGAAATGACGTAAATTATGGTAATGATGTGTCACTATTTTGAATGAAGATGTAGGTTTACTAGATATGTGCATTCGTGGGTGGGTGCAAGTGGTGACGTCAGTCAGCTTTCACTGACGGTTGAGGGGGAGGGGGGGGGGCGTCCCCGTACTGAGGGCGCGGGGCGCGGGCCGCGGGCCTACTCGACTGTTGCACCACGACCACGTGAAAGCGGCCACTTTATATTATTTGTATTGCTCAGAAATTGTCCACGAACACAAAGTGACATGCACATTGCAGATATGAACATTTCGTATTTATGTGATGAGCACACAATGAAAGTTTTTATTTATTTCAGTAGCAACATTTTCATAGCTTTATTTATGATTGTTAAGATTCATGGAAGAGTGCTAAAATTTTAACTTATTTTATAGGTATAGCAATCGAGTTATTCTTATCAGATTAGGTTAAGATAATTATATGCATCGATTCAATGTTTCACAACAAGTCCATGAAACTAGTTAGTAATCGCTAGTCGTCAATATTTCACGGTGTTTGCGTGAAGGCAGGGAGAGGCCGGAGAGGAAAACAATGCACTGAGCCGATATTCTTTCGATACAATAATAAGATTTGCATAGACATAGGCTGATTCAACGATGAGCTATCTATCCGAATGTTAGTAATATTTACAAACGGAGGGCGGTGGAACAATGGTGCGCGGGCGCATTGTCTCTCACAGGATGTCCGAACCCATTGTACCGGGTAAACAGCACAGAACGAGATATATTATGTTCTTGTTTCACACGTCGCTTTTCCATTAAGTGTTAAATGCAATTTACAGTAGCACTTTATGACATTTAAAAATGTAACGTTTACTCTTTATTTGTAAGATGGAATTATTGCTAATCGTTTAGATAAATGTCGCGGCTCTCGCTTCCTTTCTAGTTCAGGTGTTACGAAAGCGAAAGCTACCTTTCTAGGGCTAGTCAGGTCAAAGATGTGAGGGGTCAAGCTAGTTCCTGAACATCTCGTGTTTAAATAACATCTTCACGTACGAGTGGCTCTTATACCCTTATTCATTTCCTGAATCTATAATATGCTTCTTATAAGATTCTTTGTAACTATATCAGATGTTAGATCGATTCGCACATCACGAATGTTTACATAATGTAAGAATGAATGTTTCTGATTTTTATACATAGGTAGGTACTCTATCAATGGAAAAACCCAAAACATTATTTTAATGCGTAGTCGTGTAATGACTTATTATAACGTGAAGGGATCCTATATATAGCTTATCATATATATCATATAAACTACTACTGACATTATTGAGTATATAGATCGACTTAATAGGTATTGCTACGGTCAGGAGACTCTAATTTTTTGCTTGTGAAAAATGAAAACTGTTATCATGAGAGTATTTGTAGGTACTAAAAATGATTATGATGATGTTTTCAGAAAATTGACGATGTCAATGACGCGCCGAATTCCGTGAGTGATGACAGCTCGGAGTCTGACAGCTCCGCGGAAGAGGAGGACGAGCTCGACGCCGTCAGGCCCATGCTCAAGCTGCCCATACAGTTCGACCTCGATGAGCTTGCTGGAGCCTTCCTTGCTAACAACCAAAAGTAAGTAAAAGAATGAAAAGAGATGGAGAAGTAGGAGCAAGTATAATAGAAAGTAATCTTTTTTATCATCGTATAAGTACCAACCATTTTACTAAAGGTGTAGAAGTAAAAATAAATGTGATCCATTATTGAAATTCGCCGCAAGTCATTTGACGATAGTTCTCGGTAAATTAGAAATTTCGCAAGAATACTAAGATTTTTACTGAAATTTATTAATTAGAACGAAAATTGTATTAGGTACAAAATGTTAAAAATAGACTATATTGTATTAAGTTTGTTTTTGGTACAGTAACTAATATTGGCTTTTAATTTGTGATGATTTTCGGTGGTTGACATTGACAATCTATGAATAGCTTTGTACTTACTAGCTTAATAAATATAAGGTAAATCTTCTAATGATTAGATGTACCTTTTCTAATTTTAATTTGATTATCTAGCTTCTTTATACATACCGAGTACTTTGATATATTAAACTGGACAGCCGTTTTGTGGTGTGTTATAACTATGTTAACTGACCACTAAGCGCCTGTCGAGTTAAAAAGGCAATGTATCAGTAAAATGGCATAATGCCATGTGTTTTACAATGAAGTGTACTGCAGCTTAACCTTCAAATCGCCTCTACAAACGGACCCATACAATGTTTCCATATGTCCCATTTATGGAGTAGGTGTACAACCGAAACGGCCACTTACATGGTTAATCCTGAGGCCTACACGGTAAATCCAAGGATTAAACTCGCCACTGATGCGTTACTGTTTATTCCAAATGTTCTGCTCGGACGACCAATGATTAATTCAAGGTCAAGTTCTTCCACAACTAATTATGAACCGTTTGCTTTAACCATATTGTTTTTAGCCTTGTGAGTTGTGTAATAGTTTTAAAAAGGCTAATCACGGGTCAGTTGTGTCGTCTAATCTATCGTGGTTATACAAACGAATTATATTTGTTTTAGATAATGAGGTTTTGATTGCAGTCATTTCAAAGCTCGTCTCTCTGATGTTTAACAGTGGATAGAAGTTAATAGGTATCCTCTATTTGCTAGTGACGTTATTCATGCTAAGCACACAAATTCAGAACTTTAAATTAGGTTTGTAAAAAAAGAATGAAATACACATCAATAATGTGTATTTCAGTTAAAATGAAAAAGGCTATAAAATAAATATGTAATGTATATTAGTTGTTTACAATAAAACAAATGTTAGGACAATGTTATAAATAAAAATAGATCGATCGAATGCTCCAGATAAACACATAAAAGGATTTTGTCTACTAAAACCTTTTCAAAAACAGTTGTAAACAAGAATTGGTGACAAATAACAGTTAGGAACCTAATTAACTAAATTTGAATGCGAATGAGACAACTGGCACTCATTTCAATGAGAATATCTATCGACCAAAGCACCGTAATAACGGACACTCCCCAAAATGTTAACCACTTTCGTAGCTGTTAATACTATAATAACAAGGAGTTAAAGGAGGATATTTGTAATGGCTCTATTTATATACAATTTGCGTAAGCAATTATTATTATATAAGTTCGCATGATGAGGTCCCCCCGAGCGATTTCCCTACAGTTGTTCCTGTGTGCTCACCCATTATAACGTTTTGAGTAGTTGTGTAACACTACAGTCGGCACTAGGCGGAAGGAGTCGCAGAATCTTGTGTAATCACATTAACACGAGCTCATTGGTAATCAGTACGAACATGTGTGATGTGACCTAACGTGGCTCGAGATCGACGATGCACCTCGCTGAATATTGCAACGATCGAAGCGCCTCAATTATACGTAGAGATAATATCGATGTTACATGAATACAATATGTTCACCCATCAACTTACTTCATAAGAACTTAATCTTTATTGAATATTATAAAACATAATTAGTTCATGTTATAAAATTTGTACTGCCGCAGTATAAAATAATTTATTAAAAATAATGGCGGCAAGTCATAACACTATAAAAGCGTGAAGTGAAACTAATAGCAGATTTTCATCACATTTCATCACAAATTGAATATTTTACACAACTCGGTAGTAAATTCAATAATTGCTGCTCCACATTAATAAATCAACCGCTGTAAAATCCGCAATTAAATGAGAATGAGAACCCAGAAAAAGGTTTTTACAGTCAGTACCTACATAAAAGCACCGACCAATCAGCCATTTGATTATTTCTGCTTATTTTAAAACTGTGGGTTGAACTTTAGGGCAGGTGATATAAAAAATACCTTTTTATGAGAGTTGCTTGTCCGTATTTGGTTGACGACTTAATAAAAGATTTTTTTTTGTTTGCAGAGGTCGCATGAACTGTGTTGTTGAGAGGCGCCATGACGATCCAATGGAGAGACGATTCCCCTTCAACATCCTCGGCGCGTTTGCACCTCGTAGCGCGCACGCAGAGCGCATCGCCATCATTTGCCACGGAGGAGACGAACCTAGGTAGGTCTATTACAAAGCTTTATAGCAACAACGAAACTAACAATTTTCTTTCACTACAGTTAGACAAATGTTGAATCCGTGTTTTACACAAAAAATATAATTACTACCGTTAAATATAATTACTAGATACAGAACTTTGTCGAGGTTATATTTTGTAGTTTAGCCGTATAGACAGATCTTCATTTTATCGCCATTTGTTGGTATACTTATTATACTTTTACGAGGGTAAATAGTAGATCAAACAATAATACATGTTAAAATTGAAAATATTTTTTAGATCATGTGGTATGTAACACTTGTATTATAAATATTTTTTGAAATTTTACATAGGTGTGACCTTAAATCTAAACTCACCAAACTTTAACGTTTGATTGCGAGTGTGTACCTATACAATTGTATACCTATACAATTTCTGAAAATAAAATCATTTAATCTTAAACAAGAATCCGGGCAATGAATACCAAATCTTTCGAAGAATTACAGCTTGTTCATGTACAAAGTTTACATAAAATTTTAATAAAGTAAGAAACTACGAGAAAAGTAACATTTTTGCTTGAGTTTTGCTGTATCTTAGTTACGTACATACATATACAAGAGTACGGATTAAATTCTTTTGTTGAGTATTTTGCGTGGTTCGCATTGAGATGCGGCGAAGTGGACCGATTATTCCTGTTTCTTAGAATCTCAGAAGCTTGGAGTTCCATTCTTCGTGATTTATTGTAGGCACCGTGTTTTATTTTTTGTAAGACCTTCCATAAGTTTTTAGACTTATACGACAAAGTAATAGGAGGCCAAGGCCAGTCGTTGCTATTGGTTCAAGATTGATACAACTCATTGTGCGAAATAATAAATGTGAACATTTACACAAGATCTTATACTTTGTTTGTTTATATATTTTTTATTTTATACGTTATAATATATTTGCGTACTCAATGCCTTTAGTCATCTTAACCGCACTCATCTGGGTTTTTTACTCACGTATTTATAGTGTAAAGCATGGTATTTATAGTGTAAAGGCTTTACTGAAGGTCGAACTTAAGGAGCAAATCTTAAGTATTTTATGAAACGATTAGAACTTTTATGTAAATAATTGTTCAAAGTGTCATGTGTGTTAGGTACGCATACTTGCTGGCACAGAACAAGTCCACTCCAAATTTAAAAAAAAAACGCTCCTGGACTGGCATGGTTCTCCTAATATTTATAACTTATGTTATTATCTTTGAGTTTATTTTAGTGTTACTTCTAAAAAATATAGACAGCAAAATAAACATTAATAAGTAAAGATTTTTTCTCAAGATATCAATTCGTTTAGTGTTCCAGAGAGACCTATAGACTTCAAATTACATTATTTAATTATTCACATTGTAGTCATTACAGGCATAAATTACGTCACATACACGTGTCTGTGATACTGATGACAAAGTGAAAGGCTTGTAGTTCGCAATAGTCCCTACGAGCATAGTTGTAAAACTTTATCGGCCCCTAATACATTTGGGAATAAACGACTTACTTAACTTAGTACTTTCATTAAATACTTGTATGACTCTTTATAGACTAGATTGAACTATGCTTTATTAAACTTCTTCAAATATGATACGAGTTTTATAGACTTTTTTGTTTAATACTAACTTCTGCCCGCGACTTTGTACGTGCAATCCCGTTTTCTCCCGTTCCTGTAGGATTTTTTCTATTTTAAGAACCTTCTCCTAATAATAACAAATACAAAAAAAAAAGAATTAGTGAAATCGTTCTAGTAATGCCGCATTCACGCGTGGTGTTGTGATCAAGGGAAAAAGGGATTTATTTTATATATGTAGATAAAGTTGCCTAAAATAAACCTTATTCGGCATAAATGTATTTCTAACCAAAATGTGGATGGGAAAACAGAATTTCCAAATGAACGTGATTAACTAAGTTTAGCAAACTTATGGTTTTACTGACGGATACGATAATGTGTAGGTTTCCATTCTTCCAATTAAGCTTTATGGATGAAAGTTGATTGCAAGGATGTTTATAGTTTGTATTTACGGAGTTATAGATAAAATAGATAGTGGTTGACACAACTTTAGTAAAAAATATGATTATTTGTACTCGTATAATTGAATGTGCTGGCTTCCTATGTACTTGTAATTAGATAATTTTAGTGACGGTATTTCTTAAGGTAATGCCCATAGTGGCAGCTTTTTATCTTTCTGCGGATAATCTCATTGTAGAGAGCAACTTTATTAGGCAGTATACTCATGTGAAAGACAGACATAAACTTAAAAATCTTTTACATACATATGATATGTAATTATATTTCTTTATTAGCGTTGATAATTAGAGGCAATGACACATTGATACATTTTAAGAAAGTTTAAAGTACCCAAGAGTAGGTTAACTTATTTGTGCCACATAAAAGGAGTCGTTAGATAGAGAGGATGACCGAGGTGGTAGGCCATCTCCACAGGCCACTTAACACAAGTTAGCTAAGTGTTCGTATGTATGGAATTGGTGAAATAGTTCACATGTACTAATGGGCAATGAATACATAATACTAATCTAAATACTTTTACTTTTCATCGTCAGTATTCATCTATAGATTTAATTATTTAAAAAGGATCCAGCTTAGGGAAAAATGATTCAACGTTAACAAAGAATTTTCTCTCTATTTAAGTGATAAAAGTGAGAACTACGGGACTGCGGTCTTATTCCCAGGCCTTTTAAGATTTATTGGTAATTTAAATAACGAGTAGTTTATACTACAAAGAAATATGGTTTTAATGAAAGTGAAGTTACAAAAAATTTATTCGTGTAGATGTATCCAAGCAAAGGTCAAGAATTAATAAGGTGTTTTGTTTCAGGCCAATGAACTTCCCAGAGCCGCAGTCACAGGTGTTCGCGTTCCCCCTGACTGGTCCAGTACGTCTGCCTCTTCGCCCACAGCCTGAACATGCGCCCGCGCCGCCTTCAGTCGGCCCCGCGCCCCCCGCACCACGCATGTCTCCTTTCGCGACCCTGTCTCACAGACAACCACCTTTCCCCCTACCCGTGAGTACATAATTATATTTGATTTAATTCTGTTCTTTATATACCGTAGTCTCATTATTCTTCAGCTTGTGATATTTAATATTCTTTGTGGAAATCTACCGCTTCATACAGTATAATATATCGCGGGGAAAATCTTGTATCAGACTTAATATAGTCCCGGAAGCTGCGGTCACCTTGTGATGAACGAGTGAGGCATCTTAATGTGAACATCGCAAGCTTATAATTGACCATAATAGCTTGGTTCGTCTTCCGGATACATAAAGAATAAAATAATTACATAACTAATTAAATAATGGAGGAGGAACGAGACAACGGGTTTGTGCTAATAAATGTAATGGCGGATTCTAGGCAATAACTTAGTTGCAGGATTTTGTGAAAGCCAGAAAGGGATGAGCCGTGTGTGTGACCCTTGCATGTAGTCGTACGTTTGATGTGGCAGAGAGGCACGTAATATGAATTGGTATTTGGGTCAAGAGAGGCCGTGATTGCTGGGGATTATCCTACGATCGTGTCGTTTATCGACCAAGTGTTCTATCAGTTTCAACTGGTTTCTTTCATTTCTTAAATCTTCACAAAAGGCTTTCAGTTTTCACATAAACGTAATAAAATAGATTTGAAATGAGAATTAGATTGTAATGTAACTTGAGCCTAGATCTATTTCAGATGTAAAATAAATGTTATTTCTAGGATTTCGATATAATAGTCAATTTCGTTTGAAGAGTAGTAAGGGTTTGATGATATACAATAGTACCTACAAATATTGGAATCATTTGAAATATAAGCGAGATATCTAAAATTCGTTCAACATTAGTTCGAGTGTTATCATACAATTCTATACATATATTAGGTATGTACGTCTATTGATCGCTTTGATGAAAGTTTTCAGTCGGCACTTACACCACGTAGCACGTAGTATACGGAAGATATTCATCAAATTAATGGTTCGCTTCTCAAACGTCGTGTACCGCCGACCGCTGTAATACACCGGCGAAATTAAGGCTATTGTGCTCCATAAGAGTCTGTACGTGAACTTCTTTGAGAGACGTCCGACAAATGATTTCTATTGTTATTGGTGATTCGTGTACTCGAGTGTACAATATCAGCAGTTTAGTTGCTACCCAACAATCTTGTTGTTGCCATGATTACCTCATGCCTGTGGCTATATGCTATTATATCGCTTTTTTACTTGTAACGCCGTTTTTCTATGTTTAGCTTCTTGTTTAACAAATGTACGTTTTTTGGAACATAATGTGATCGATTCACTGGCTGTTTTTTTTATTGATGTCTTGTACTTAGTAAGTGGATTCTTTTTTGGTTAACAGTTCATAAGCACAATGCTGATCTTGATTGCTGAGGTTTTTGGTATTTGTTTTCGTTTTATGTCAACGAAAATGTGGATTATTTGAGATATCTTTGAACTATTTCAATAGACTTCGTCTAACCCTTTGGAAATGAGAGGTGATGTTAATGAGTAAAAGTACAAATATAATGTTCGGCAAGTCCATTAAAGTAATGTATTCGGGCCACAAACCATTTCAAGTGCTAAACAATAAAAGTGATGTGTTTCCGCACAATAAGTGCGACGCCGAGGGACCATTTGTTATGACTGTCATATGTTATGACCGCTATAATAATTTCATTACGTCATAGTCATAACATAATTGTAGTAGCCAAAGCATCCGAGGAGAGATTACTTTAAATTGTGTTTAATATTTAGTCCCACAAAATGAATTAACTAATGTTATCTATTTCAGGAAAAATATTCATGACCTTTTTTGAAATTCATACGAAACATGATTATAGAGAAGTCAGCGCTTACCACTAATCCTTTTACGGATGTGAGACAACAGAAGTCTCTTTTCCTCTTATTGATGATTCTTTGGGACTCCTAGTCAATTACGTCATTTGAAATGATTCCAAGTTACTATATGTATAACTAACTAAAAACAACTTCCTTTATCTAGCATATAGTGCACCAGACAAAACGTAGTGTCGAAACTTCGGTAGCTCAAGTACCACTTAAGTCATTCTGGATTGCTAGATTACAAATTAATGTAACACTAGTTGAACGGATATCTGCCAACAATTAAGAAGGATATAAATATTATTAAGTGTGTATATCTAGATGTTTTTCTATATACAATGGACACAATAACAATTTATACGCAGTTATAAACACCTATGGGCAAACAAATGCACAATAAACCACAGTCAATTATCTCTCTTAGAGAATGCAAATATTTGTTCCAAGCAGAGATTGGACGAGCGAAACTATGAATGCGTTATATCTATTAATCTTACTTTTATACGTTGATGTGACATAATATTAGAGGCTAAAGATATGAGGTTACTCTTGGTCAGTGATCTCTTTTTATGAAAAAAATCTATTGTTATAAATCGCTATAAGACCGAACCAATAGAAATATCATTCTGTTCTACTCAAAAATTCAATTACGGAACAACTAATACATGTACACCAAGTACGTAACTATTACGTTTGTACAAAACTCAGAATATAATACCGGCTCTGTAACGCATAATAATACATTAGACTCTAAGTAGGTTCTTGAATGTCGATTGATATCTAAAAGACTTTAATTTGTTATAGTGCATCTCTTGAGAGATAAGAGACAAATAGAAAGTACCATAAATTTTATACAATCGGTTAGAAAGAAGTCGATTTAAAAAGTTAGTCGATTATTTTGGTTGGGGAGATAGAATCGGATTAGCGTCAAACTTGATAACGACATGATGAGGCCAGCCACTCGGTGCGCCGAGCGAGTGATGTAATCGAGTGAAGTCCTGCAATTTTAGAATCTGAACGTACGCCACATGTAGGTGAAACCCTTATGTAATATGCGATATTCCTCGTATACATTTAACTAAAGAGATATTTACCTAAAAAAGTCTATTCCTAAGTAACATAATTTTCATATGATCAAAGTCTTATCCCTTTAGTAGTGTAGAGTTGAAAAATGTATGTATTAGAGGCGTAAAATCTTTGGAATAGACTTTGTTATTTTAGGCATAGTCTGAGCTGAGTATATCAATCACATTTAGGACTTGTTTTACGCCTATGTACCGACATTGTATATACATAGATATAGGGATTGTATATAAAGTATAAATAATAGAGGGTTGTTAAATGTTTTGTAAGTTTTATTTCTATTACTAGCTGTTGCCCGCGACTTCGTCCGCGTAGATTAATGACTTCAGACAGAATTAACCAGAATCAATTCAGTGCCCAAGTAAGATTTACCTATTTTGAAATGATTTATCGTAGTTTCAATAAATAAATAATCCCGCAGGGATCTTACCAGTACAGTGCCCGATCACGTAAGGTTTGAGTAATAAAAACTATTCTATCGACTATTGTTGTACCGAATCTCTCTAGAATAAGTTCTCTAACTCTTAACCACTGGTTAAGAGTTAGAGAGTCCTGGGGCATTGACGCATAGTTCCCGTTCTCGTGAGACATCTGTGAAAAAACTATCATACGTTACCCAGGTCCCAAATCATCGTTTTACCGAATGTAATTCAAAAAGATTCAATGATTCTAAATTAAACGGCTAAGAAGATTTATACAAACTCTCATTCCCTATTTTATCCCCTTAGGGGTGGAATTTATCAAAATCCTTTCTAAAGAGATACCTATGTCATAGTAACTTTATGCATGCAAAGTCACAGCCCGATCAATTTAAAACTGGCAAAGTATCATACTTTGGGGGTGAGAATGTTCAAAAACCTTTCTAAAGGGACGTTTACGTCATAATATCCATCTGCACGCCGAATTTCAACCCGATCGGTGTAAAACTGACAAAGCTTCATACAAACGTTCATCCCCTATTTAACCCCCTTAGGGGTGGAAATAATCAAAATCCTTTCTTAGCGGATGCCTATGTGATAACATCTATCTGCATGTCAAATTTCAATCCGATCGATTTAAAACTGACAAAGTCTCATACAAACTTTCATCCCCTATTTTACTCCCTTGGGGGTGGAAATTATCAAAATCCTTTCAAAGCGGATGCCTACGTCATAACATCTATCTGCATGCCAAATTTCAACCCGATCGATTTAAAACTGACAATGTCTCATACAAACTTTCATCCCCTATTTTACCCACTTGGGGGTGGAAATTATCAAAATCCTTTCACAGCGGATGCTTACGTCATAACATCTATCTGCATGCCAAATTTCAACCTGATCGGTTTAAAAACTGACAAAGGCTCATATAAACTTTCATCCCCTATTTTACCCACTTGGGGGTGGAAATTATCAAAATCCTTTCAAAGCGGATGTTTACGTCATAACATCTGTCTGCATGCCAAATTTCAACCCGATCGGTATAAAACTGACAAAGTTTCATACAAACTTTCATCCCCTATTTTACCCCCATTGGGGGTGGAAATTATCAAAATCCTTTCATATCGGATGCTTACGTCATAACATCTATCTGCATGCAAAATTACAACCCGATCAGTTAAAAACTGACAAAGTTTCATACAAACTTTCATCCCCTTTTTTACCCCCTTGGGGGTGGAAATTATCAAAATCCTTTCTTAGCGGATGCCTACGTCATAACATCTATCTGTATGCCAAATTTTAGCCTAATCTGTCCAGCGGTTTGGGCTGTGCGTTGATAGATCACTATGTCAGTCAGTCAGTCAGTCAATCACCTTTGAATTTTATATATATAGATAATAGAATCAAATGTGAATTTTGTTATCAATGTTATTAAATCTCAAAGCAAAAGAAAGTAAATCGTTCTTAAATATTTATAATAGGAGAGAGTGAATTCGTAAATAGTTTTGATTCCAATGTCCGGCGACAAAACGATCTGTAATATTTTGCGTAGTACAACATAATTTCATAACTGGCCTTTATGTGATAGAAGAGTTGGTACGTAGTCTCACAATGTTATTACTATCATAATGCGAAAGTTTATGAGGGAGAATGGATGGGCGTTTGTTATTCCCTCGCAAAAATATTAAACAGTA